GCTTATTCCACTGAGCCATCTCCCTGGCCCTAGGAACTCCATAATCAAACACATAAAGCTTCACATTTAAGACTTTAAAAATATAAATGATTATGTACTATATTTACATATAGACAAAGGAAAAAATATATAACAAATGTTAACATTTAAAAATTATTTAAGGGTAAAAAATTTCAGATCTAAATTTCTTCTTAGCTTATCTACACTTTTTGTTTACCTGTAACATAAATCACATATGTAATATTTCTTTTCCCTTCTTTTCTTTTTGGGGTTATACTAGAGACTTAAACTCAGGGCCTTTGCACTGACCTCTCACTCCACTCAACAAGATCTCACTAAATTGCCCAGGCTGGGCTTGAACTTGTGATCTTCCTGCTTTCAACTCCCAGAATGTTGAGATTAAATGAACTGCCTTACTACCTGGTTTAATAGCTTACTTTTGAGTAAGTGTGAAATTATTTCAAATTATCTACTGCTCTAGGATCCTAATATGCCATAGTCTACAGCTATTTTACAACCATACCCAGCCAGGCCCAGAACACTTACTTTATTCCAAGTCCATCGGAATTCTTGAATATCAGAGGGTCTCTCAAGCCACCCCGCTGGATATACTCTACATTAAAATCTATCACCACAGGAAAATAATTATTAGAAAGACAAAAGGTTAGATAAGGGGGGGTATATAAAAGATGTAAATAATAAGGCATAGTTTTTATGTCCATACTGCTGTGCTCTATTAGACAATAAACACATGTTTATTACAAGAAGCACCTCATAGGCAATAGGGATAGCACACTTCAAAGCAGGGCTTTAAGTGTTTGCTATGTCTGTATTGCTATAGGAAATTTAGAACTTAATAGAAAGTATACAGTACTATTGAGTTATTTCACAAATCTTAACAGAAACTGCCATTACCTTTTCTCTTACCAAAGAATGAATTCTGACCACAATACAGATAAGACATCTTTGTCAGTATGCTAAGGATCAAAGCTATGTGATACACATGGGATCCCACCTTGTTTCAGTGGGATGATGTTTGCACAAAAGGGGATTCGTTGTACTATTTTACATTAAACCCAAGCAAAGGGATGAGAGAAGCAAAAGGCCATTAAGTAAAACCACAACAGAACTGGGCATGGTGGCACATACCTGTAATCTCAGCATTTGGGAGGCTACGGCAGGAAGATTGCTGAGTGTGAAGCCAGCCTGGACTACATAGTGAGTTCAAGGCCAGCCTGCACTACAAAGCAAGACCCTATCTCAAAAAAACAAAACATCATTCCTACCCTATTAAAAGACTACTTCCTCTTTTTTAAGTGGTATTGGGGACTGAACCCAAGGAGCAATGAGTTGTATCTCCAGTGCTCCACCCCACTCTGAGACAGAGTCTAAAAAAAAAAAAAATTACTAAGTTGCCTGGGCTAGGCTCAAACTTTTGATCCTCCTGCTTCAGCCTTCCACTTACTAAGATTACAAGTGTGAGCCACTATGCCCATCTTTGACTGTTAACATAATGTCTCAAGGGTATAAGAATAGGGGAGGAGAGGGTTGTGCAAGTCACATTATGTAACTAAAGCAAATGGATAAATAGCATCAACAGGCAATATTTCAGTTGCACACAAACTAAATCAACAGGTGTATTTCTATATTAAGAAACTGTGCTTCTGAATCAAAATGATACTCACCTTTGCCTTCCATAAATGTAACAAAATTGGCATTATATTTGTTGGTATGGAGCTTCTCTTCCAAGTCAAAAGTTCTTTTACCTTCAATTTCATCATCTGAAATGCCATCATCTTCATAGCGTCGTCGCATTGTACCACGCTGGGAAACAAGGGATGTATGGATGAAATCACATACTTCCTATGTCTATCTATAAGCAGTCAGTGCCTTCACATGTACAAAATGCTACTTTTAACCTATGCAGGTCTATTCTTTCTCTCAATTCAAGATCAGCTAACAGTATCATAATACAGAGAATGTAACACTTTCAATGAGCCACTAGATTCTCTGTGACTTTTATCTTTGCTAAGTTTTTAAATCTAGAGATATAAATTTACAACAAAAAACTCAAAAAGAATCTACTACATATTTTATGATATCAAAGTGTGAATAAACTGTCAGGCATGATAGTACATCCCTGTAGTACGAGCACTCAGCAGGCTGAGGCATGAAGGTCATAAGTTTGAGGCTGACCAGCTATATTGTAAATTCACAGCCTGAACCATAAGACAAGACCCTACAGCAAACAAACAAAAAGTGGATATAAACTGTCTTTGTAGAAATTCAAGTGAGAATATAATTTTTTCATAGGAGAGAGCTGTGTCTAAGATTAGCTTTATAAAAAGACCTCAAGGATAGACTAAAACATATGAATATTAATTCAAAACCAAAAACTCTATCTTTGAAAAGAAAGCTAAGCAACAGTATGCTACCCAGCAGACCATCCATTCTTAGAGATAATATATCTCCCAAAAGATGACATATAAATAGTCAATAAGCACATGAAAAGATGCTCAATATTATAAGTCACCAGGGAAAGGAAAATCAAAACCATTGTGAGGCTTGTCATGGTAGCACACACCTGTAATTCTAGCACTTGGGAGGCTGAAGTAGGAGACCACCCTGGGCTACAAAGTGAGTTCAAGGCCAGCCTGAACTGCATAGTGAAACTCTGTTTCAAAAAGACAGAAACAAAACAAAACGAACACTATACTTCATAAACATCATGATGGCTACTGTGAAAAAGATGGGTAAGAGGACTAGTGGAGCACTTGCCTAACATGCATGAGGCCCTCAGTTTGATTCCCAACACTGGAGGGAGGAGGAGAGGGAAGGAGGGAGAATACATACAAATTAGAAAATTGAGGGGCTGGGGAGATAGCTCAGTAGAATAAGCACTTCCCTGGCAGGCGCAAGGGCCTGAGTTCAATCCCCGGTTCGGGGGAAAAAAAAATTAGAAAAATGAAGTAGAGATTGTGCTATAACATGGGCACTCTGAAAACACTAGGCCAAGTAAAAGCCAGACATAAAAGACCACTACTATATGATTTTATTTATATAAAATGAATAGGAATAGGCAAATCCATAGAGACAAAACGTAGGTAAGCAGTTCCCAAGAACTGGAGAATGGGAAGATGGTAAGTAACTGCTAATGTATGGGGTTTCTCTCAGAAGCCAGGAAAAGGTTTTGGGTTTTTTTTGGTCAGTTCAGCCTGCCCTGAGGGCAGAACGGCATGTGGTGCTGGGGATCAAACTGGGGTCCCCTGTGCCTTCCTAAGCTTGCCTAGGCAGATGCTTTAGACCGCTGAGCTATCTCCCCAGCCCCAAAAAACATTTTGGAATTAGTGGCAATATTTACACATCTCTGTGAATATACTAAAAACTAAATTATATACTTTAGTGAATTTTGCAATGTTGGGATTATGTCATAAATTTACCTTTAATATATTTTATTTTAGTTGATGTAAACACTTCCAAAATTTTTTGAGAACATAACTATGTGACAAGTGTTAAAAATAACCACCCCTGGAATTTAAAACTAGGTACTGATGATCTAAAATTGATTACACAAAACTTATGTTGTACAATGAGATACTACAGAAGCCTCTTAGGAAATGAAGATGTGTAAAAGGGCAGAAATTAAATCATAAAATATGAAAATAGATGTGTCATACACCAGTGAAAAACAGGATTGAAGTTACTGGATATAATATCTTTTCTATATTTAGTAAACAGCCTTTTAACAGTTGTTAGTACTCCGGAAAAGTCAATTTTAATAAAGTTTCATGAACTTATTAATAAGGCCATCATTGTTCAAAATAATTTTAGATACCTTTTTTGGTGGAGGGTTTCACTTACAGTTTCTTACATGTTGGTGTTTGTGGTTTTTTGTTTTTCTTTTTTTAGGAATCAACCAGTTCTCTCCCTCACTTTATTTTGTATATGTAACTCTGGAAAGAAGTACTAAAGATTAGTAGTTTCCTCAAATAGTTATTTAATTTTTTTTCCAAAAAAAAAAATTTTTTTTTTGGAGACAGGGTCTCACTATGTCTTTCAGACTGGTCCTGAACTCTCTAGAAGCCAAGGCTGGCCTTAAACTCCATCAATTCTTCTGCCTCAGCCTCCAGGGTACTGGGATTACAGATATGATATGATGTGCTACCATGCTCACTAGGCTCAAATAATTACAGAAAACACTTTCACTGTAAATTCTAATATGCTTGTCAAAATAAATAATCATCCTTTATTATCTCAATATTTATAACATGGTAGCAAAAGTTTCCCCCAACATTGTCTTTTTAAATGTTTTTCTTCAATTTTCAAGAAGAATTTAATACAGCAGATGTTAAATATAAAGAGAAGCTCCTGTATCATTCTACTCCTTCCTATTCCTTAAAAATAACTTCCCTGTTCCACAAAAAAAAAAAAAAAAAAACCAGAAAAAATTAAATTCTTGATTTCTTTTTGACTGTGGCAAATGGGATAGCAGCAACCCTGTATGAAATTTACCTGTGTCAGTTTTAACACTGTCAAAGATATACAGAGCAGGAATGAATTTTCCTATTCCTCATTCATCAAAGGCACAAGTAACAACAAAATGGAATAACCTTCGGATTTCCTAAAATTAAAACCTTTTGTATTCTAAAAATAATCCAGAAAAGTAAGGAGGAATAAACTCCTAAGGAATAAGATTTCCTTCCATTTGAAAAGCATTAATCTAATGAGATTTAATATCCAGAATATTTAAGGAATTTTTGCAAGTCAATAAAAAGAACAAAAATGAACAAATTTAAAACAGACAAAGAGGCCTGGCCAGATAGCTCAGTGGACTAAAGCACCTACTTAGGCAGAGCACAGCAGCCAGGGCTCAAAACCCAACATGCTATACCAGCCCCGCCCCTGGGGCGCACTGAGATGGGGATTAAAACTGGACATGGTGGTGCACACCTGTTATTCCAGTGCTTGGGAGGCTGAAAACAGGAGAATCACTATGAGTCCAATCTACATAGTGAGACCCTGCAGACCCTGTACTAAATACATTTTTAAAAAAGAATAAAAAAATGGGCAAAGAATCTAAAGATAATTCATAAATATTTACAACTGGCCAGTAAGCACTTGGAACATCATTTGTCATTAGCTTACATTATTAGTCATTAAGGAAATGCAAATCAAAACCAAATCACAATGAGTTGTCATTTCACTTAGTCAAATAATAAGTGTTGGTGAGGATGTAGAAAAAATGGACTCTTCATCTACTGTGGGTATGAATATAAGAATAGCATGGAAGCACCTTTGGAAAACTCTGGCAGGTTTTGAAATTATTTAATATAAAATTACCATACGACCCAAAATTCTACTCTTATGCATCTACACTATCCAAGAGAATGAAAACATACAGTCATACAAAATTGCACACCCAATATGTACAGCACCTTTTTCTTCTTTTGAGATGGAGTTTCATATGTACCACTATGTTTGGCTCTCACAGCCTTATTGAAGGCAACATGATTCACAATAAACAAAAAGTACAAACAATCCAAATTATCAACTGAAGAATGGATAAATAAAATGTATTATCTGTACAATGAAATATTTAGCAAAAAAGAATTACTGAGAAATGCTACAACTGAAAAATACTACGCTAAGTAAAAAAGCCCAACACAAAAGGCCACATACTATATGATTCCATTTAAATGAACTGTCCAGAATAAGCAAATCTATAGGGCTAGGAAGTATATTATTGATTGCTAGGAGCCATGAAGAGAAATGGGAAGTAACTGCTAATGTGTACTGTGTGTCATTGCGGTAACCCAAGCGTTCTGGAATTAGATAGTGTTAACTCACACTTGTACAACTTCGTGAAAATACATTAAAAAAACCAAAACCAAAACCAAATAAAAAACACTAAATTATACTTGTTGCGGGGGGGGGGGGTGCAGTGGTGTGGGGACTCACACCAGGACCTTGTACTTGCCAGGCAGACACTGTGTTGCTGAGCTATATCCCCAGCCCTAAATTATAGTTTTAAAAGGGTGAATTTAATGACACATAAGGGCTGGCCAAATGGCTTAGCAGATTAAAGCTCATGCAAGCAGGCACAGGGGACAGGGGTTCAATCCCTGGACCTGCAGTGCCAGCCCTGCCTCTGGGGCACGCTGAGACAGCAATTGAGACTGGGCGTGGTGGTACATGCTTGTAATCCCAGCTCTTGGGAAGCTGTAAACAGGTGGATCACTATGAGTCTGAGATCCTGAACACCCTGTAGACCTTTCCTAAAAATACAAAAGACATAAATTTCACCTTCTACCCAAAAATCTGTGAAAATAAAAAGTATTATGTACATGTGTAAGTAAAGCAATGTATTATTATTTTTTTATAAAATTTATTTATTTGGCACGGGGTCTTGCTACGTAGCTCTGACTCGTAGTGATCCTGTCTCTGCCTTCCCAGTACTGGCATTAGTCTTGTGGCCCCATGCCCAGTTTCAGTGGCCAGCTCAGTGCAGGGCAGGCACAACATTCGGTATAGAACTCAAACCCAGGCCCTTGTGCTTGCCAGGCAGGTGCTTAGACTGCTGAGCAATGTATTTTTATGAGAAAAGATTTGATATAAGCTAATAAAAAGGCACACTATTAAGAAACTTTTTTTTTTTTTTTGAAAAGGCACAATCCTTTTCTAAACATATCCATTTTAGGTTTTTTGTTAAGTTTTCCTTTTTTTAAAAAGATATATTTATTTGGTATAGGGTCTCGCTATGCAGCTCAGACTCATAGTGATCCTCCTGTCTTAGCTTCACAGTGCTGGATTTATAGATGTGCACC